TTCAGGTTCTTAAGGAGGTCTCGGACCTCATGCTCTCCTGCAGTGGATCTAAGGTCTTCATTCTCACAGTCGCTGCGTTGGCTTTCCAAGGCCTGGGTGGTGTGGTCTGAGCATTTGCTAGTGAAGACTGAGGCAAAGAAGTCAGTAAGAACCTCAGCCTTCTCCAAATCCAGGGTAGCCAGTCCTCCCAATAGCTGCTGGAGAGGGCCCACATTCTCCCTAGTCTGTCTTTTATTTGCTACGTACCTATAGAAGCCTTTCCTGTTATTTTTGATGTCCCTTGCCAGATTTAATTCTAAGTGGGCCTTAGCTTTCCTGACCTGGTCCCTTGCTTCCCGGACAACGTTTCTGTAATATTCCCAGGTTGCTTGTCCTTGCTTCCACCATCTGTAAGCTTCTTCTTCCCCTCTAAGTTTCCTCAGCAGCTCCTTATCCATCCATGGAGGTCTCCTGGCCCTCTTGCCGCACTTCCTTTTAGCCGGGATGCAACACTCCTGAGCCTGTAGCAGGTGATCCTTGAATATGAGCCAGGAGTCCCTACATCCTTCCACATACTAAGTGGGGATAGAGACACTGATGTGTATCAGAGAGGAATAAATATAGCAACACACATGAAGCACTTTCATAATAGGAAAATATATGCAAAAGAGGCAGAGAATCCACCAAATCTCATTTTTCGAAAGTTCTGTAATTTAATGGGTAAGGAGGCAAGAATGAATAGAAGTTAAGCTAGGCTAACATTGGGACCAATATGTACACGTTTTACCTCTTCAATAACATACCAAGAGAAGTGATAGATTGTCTTTTGTTTTGAGGTCTTAACTCAAGTTTCACTACATTTCTAACATCTGCATTCAAGATGCTGAATGCAAACACCAGATGAAATTCTCAGGTCTGTTAATTCAGAAGAGCAGATGAACATAGTGATTTCCCCTGACACCCATGTGTCAGTGAGGTTGTAATATTCCTCACAGCAGGCTCTTACTTAAAAGATTAGTCTATAAGAATATTTACCTCTTCCTTCTTAGTATCATGTGCTCGCTGGACAAACCAGATTACTTTTGCTTGTAAGGTCCGAGGGGTGCACTCCAAAAGGGTGCTGTTGTACTCTATTCCATAAATAAGCCGCTCCTCAGTCTTCTCCAGGACTTCACCTGGAAGGAGAATAAATGTTTTAAAAACGTGCGCTACTGTAAATAATTGGAATGTTCAATACTCAGGGTATATTTACTTTTAAGAGTGAAGTTTAATTGAGATTCAACCAGATAGATAGTGACTTAAAAGCAGTATCTGGTGAAGACCTGATCTGCTAAGTGAATTTTCCAATCATCTCAGACTCTTACAGGATCTAGTCATAAAAAAAATGGACCAAATTTTGCTGTGACTCAGCTAAAATTATACAGAGAAACAGATCTCATCTTTTCACACTGCTAATTGCTTGTGCCTGGTTCTTATGAATAGTTAATCTATTTCATTTTCACTCAGTGAAACAAGGGGATTCAATACCTGCTTAAATATAGAATCAGAGAATGGTTGGGGTTGTAATGGACCTTAAGATCATCTAGTTCCAACCCCTCGGCCATGAGGGGGTGCCTCACACTAGACCATGTCGCCCAAGGCTCTGTCCAACCTGGCCTTGAACACCGCCAGGGTTGGAGCATTTACCACATCTCTGGGCAACCTGTTCCAGTGCCTCACCACCCTCACTTTAAAGAACTTCTTCCTTATATCTAATCTAAACATTCCCTGTTTGAACTCATTACCCCTTGTCCTATCGCTACAGTGCCTGATAAAGAGTCCCTGTTCAGCACCCTTGTAGGCCCCCTTCAGATACTGGAAGGCTGCTTCCAGTAGCCTTTTCTTCTCCAGGTTGAACAGCCCTAATTTTCTCAGCCTGTCTTCATATGGGAGGTGCTTCAGCGCCCTTATCATTCTCATGGCCCTCTGGATTTGCTCTAGCAGCTCCATGCCCTTCTTATGTTGAGGACTCCATATAAAAATGAGAGCACATAGACTTTTGCAGAATGAAACTCTTAAAACCTGAAAATACCCTAACCAATACTATACATATCCATTTTATAAACATGTAAAGTTTTGACCCATGGGTGTTAATAAGAACAAGGTGAATAAAATTAATTAAAACTCAATTCTGTTTTTTCATCCAACAAAATAGGAAGATAGTTAGATGTTACACTGAGGAGTACAATTGCCTAATTAATGAAAACTTCTTATTCCATAGCAGTGAAAAATGTTCATGAGATGAATCAATTTTACACCCTAAAAAATACAGGCTTTGTTATCATTGTGATTTTTCAGTTGTATTCCAAACTTAGGGTATAATTGGTATTACATAATGGAATATACTTTTCCAATATCTACTGTATTCTGTATTATCAAATGGACTTCAATTTTAATGAATCTTCTCTGGTAAAATAGCTATCTAATACTTAATATGTAAAGTATCTATCTAAAAAAACCTTTGATATTTGATTTCTTTTTTCTTTTGCAAATATATTGGCTGTTATCCAGCAAAATACTGAGGAAGTCCAGACAACTGTTTTCTGTCTGTTTTGTCATTCCCAATACCAATGTTTGAAATCATCATTTTCTAAGGTTCGGAAAGCAAATAGCATTAGACACAGTAATCAATCTTTTCTTAGGACAAATCTTGATGATGATCATAAATACACATCTGTGTTACAACATGTCATTACCCATGTCTTTGCTTCTATTCTGGCTGAGTGTCTTGATGGTATTTGATATTCGTTTCAGAATGCAGTCCTGTTGTTTCTTATCCCTGGCCCATCTTTCCACTTGCGTTTCTGTTGGAAGCCCTTGAGATGTGTTAGCCACATCCCTAGTCTGAATGACAGGGCTGCAGAACTACATGAACTCTATTAGATGCACCTGACCTGCTATCAAAACAAAGTCATGCTTAGACCTGGATGACATGGGGTCCCATGACTCTTGTAAGTTATTGCAGGAATATGCCAGTAAAAGAACTTAGGTGATATCATGGTCTGGCTCATACTCTTGGCAAAGCCTGTGCTCTCTACTCCAGGCATTTGCTAGTAATTTGTAAATGTGTGAGTAGATTACCAATGAACTGCTGGCCAAAACACTGCTGTGCTGCATTTCCGTGTCGAACATCTTGTCTGCGGAAACGTCTGAAGGGGAAAAGATGGAAGTGTTTGAGATAACACATTTAACTTACAGATTGTTTGGTTTATAAAGTGGCATTCATTAAAAACATAAGAAGCTAAATCTTGGTTCCTTAAACTTTAACGTTGTTGTGAAAAGTACTCATTTATCCAACAGTATTTTCTCTCTACTCAAGCTACTGGGAATCACATGTCCGAATAAAAGAAACACGCTCATCTGGGGAAGAGGCAGATGAGTTTATTTATGTGTCCAGTTTATACATAAATACACTAATGTTACAACTAGTAACCAATATCCTCTGAACCAGATGGACAACATTCAGTGCTAGGAAGGGTCAAAGGGACCTTTAGCCTTTACTTGAGTTCTCTCTCTCTGGAAGCTAAGGAAATGTTCCTTTTCAGTTTCGAACAGTTTGCCATGTATGTGAATGATAGTTCTATTATCCTTCACTCTCATGTTATTTTTTTCACTTGGGAATCTCAAAGAGCAGAACAAGTACTTTATTATATTACATCTGTGTAGCAGACAGTTGTTAAGGTTATTTTTCTCAGTAGAGAAACAGACACATTCATGACTTGCTCATTCTTAGAAACTGAGCTAGTGGTAGAACTGTGGTCAGAACATGGGAGCCCTGGCTGTGACCTGGAAATAATGCAATTGCTTTTGAAAGAAAAATTGTTGTGAGTTTTTGGCTTTAAGTTTTTTATATACATTTACAGAAAAATAATGAAAACCATAACTGTACAATGCATTCCCAGAAGAACTGTGCTTTTATACAGCAAACTTTTCCTCTGAGTGTCCTGATAAATAAAATTAAGTTTGCTTACTAGGGAAACAGAAGAGCCTATTGGAATGTTATATCTTGCCGTATGTAGTATTTCCAACAACCTGAAATTTAGTTATGCTAAGGGTACCTTTACTATATTTGCATAATTTTACACAGTATTACGAATGCCATACATAACAGATTAACAGAAATATGCAATGCAGCAGATCTTACACAGCAGGTATGTGTAGAGTATAAATTATATAAGGTAGAAAAAAGCAAAGCCAAACATGTTTGTTATTCTTTGCATTTACTACTTAATAATGCTTAAATAATGTTATGTGAACACAAAAGACACAATTTTTATTTGGCACAAATTGAATTTACTGAAACTATGTAGGTTTACACTTAAATATCTTGCTGATGGATGTTACTCATCATATTTCTAAAGTGGCAGTAAACAGGGATTATTTTCTGAATTCTGTCACCCATATGAACTTCTGATCCAGAGATGCTGGCAGACCAAGAGGACAGCTTTAACCTTTACTGATATTCAGAGCAGAAACAATGTTTTGTCATTGTTTCAAGGGAATCTGCAAATTCAGTGGGGATTGCTTTAGGCGTTTGCAGCAGAAGTGCTAAAATTGCATGCATATTATTAAACAAAACCTTAGGTTCTGAGATAGCAACAGAGCTTTATCATGCCCCCGGAGTTCTCACTGTAACGTATAGATACTGCAGCCATACTTACTGGTAACTCTGTAAAGTGTCAGTGCTGAATAATGTTGCCACCAGCTTTGCATATCTGTGTATACAGATTATTCAGAAGAGACATTCTCTTGCACAAATATACATAAATACTGTAGACATTAGTCTTGAAAAAAACACAAGAAAACCCTGTTTCTATCAGGCCCAGCAGCCCTACCTAGCAGGAACAGGATAGTTAGCAGGCACACACTATTTATTTTTCAGTTCCTGAAGATAATTGTAGAGCTAAAGAAATGCTGATCCTGAAAAATAGGATAAATCTCCATTTGTTAGAACTAGTCAGGAAAAAGAAATGTTTGTTTGATGGAGTTTACTGTTGTGTGTCTGAGGACTGGGGAAGATACATTTACCAGTGCCTTCACTTGCTGCTTTTTTGAAGAGAAGTTAAAAGTGGGCAGACGTGCTTAAAGAGGGGGATATGGTGGGAGACAAACTTATTTCACAAATACTGACATAAGCCTGCTATTTGTTATTTTTTTCTTAGTAAGCATTTAATTCAGAATTCCATGAATAATAGAGTACAAGACGGCTCCTGAGATGAAGTACCACAAGGAAAAATTTTCGGTGACTAGCAATATACTGACTACGTGGAAGTGTCCTTTGCAATCTATAACTTCATGAATTAGATTTCAGTCTGTAACTGGGCTTCCAGGAACTTAGTAAAAATGATCTGCAAGAAAGCAATACAGCAGACATCATCACCACCATTATCTTCATATTTCTTTATTATTTCCCAGGGATAGATGAGGCAAAGTCAAAAAGTCTCAGGAAAAAAAGGCGTTTGCTGTGGTTTGCATAAATAAATCAGTAGACTCAGTCGGGGTTTGCCGGACCAAATGTTGTAACAAAAAAATATTCGGGATAGCACCTGCACCAAGCTGCAAGGTGCAAGGGCATGTTTGTGTGCTTGCTGGTGGAGTGGGTGGTGGAGAAAGAGGCCAGAGAAGGAGAGGAGCCAGGAGGGTGACTCTCAGCTTCTTAAAATTGGCTGAAGAATCACAAGTTACCAGAAGACCTACCTGAGCTGAAAGACATTTTAAGACTACCAAAGCCCTTTTTCAGCCTGGACGGTGAGCCAGCAAAGAATCTTACTTGTAGAATTAGGGCTTGTTTAGGTAAAAATTGAACCTGCCTAAACCAGATTGCAGAGATAATAGCGGACTGTAACATTTCTTGAAGCCCTGGACTTCTACTTTTTCAAACACTCATGGAATTTGGATGTAATATAATTTCCTTCTGGCATCTGAAGTATTTGCAGCATGCAAGAGCCATGCACCTGTAACTACCATGACGTTGTATGGTGTTGCACCATCATCACCAAGATATAGGATTTTGGGTTCAGTTTTTATTTGTCCTTAATTAAATCCTCTATCTGATTAACTGTCCAGGCTATGCATTTAAAAGGAATTATAATACAGGCTTTCACAATTTAACAAATTGGTACCAGCTGTCAGGCAGAGTTGTTTTGTATTTATGCTTCAATTCTCTCTCTATCCTGTTCCTTAGTGCCTTAGTTTACAGTTTTTCTATTTTTGTATTCTCTAAACACTTGTCATGCCTTGGAGACATTAGGATCTAAAGCAGCTAGCATTTGAATCAAAATGGGGAGGACACATTGTACATCTCTGCTCTGGTTCAACTCTTCACCAGAAGGACTGGAATTAAAAAGAGAGCTCTTACTGGCGTTCTTATTGCACTAGCAGGGCTCTTCTTACAAGTGAAAGGCCCACCTAAACATGCTCCATGAGGGCCACATTTGAGCAGATAGAGGTGGTATTAAAACCAGCTCAAGTGTGTTATAATGTAAGGCACAGCTCTGTCTCAGTGAAGGGAGTCCCAGTGAAGGGAGGGAGGGCTGCCAGAAACAGGGGAAACAAGTGCTCTCCAATGCCCCTTGTACTTGCATTACTTGTACAGCTTGAGCAGAAATATGAAGCCCAGAGACAAGGCCAAATTAAGGTGTGTATGCTGTAGGATGTGGCATTAGTTGTGTCTGGAGCAAAAGGCAGCCATTGCAGTGTTATCACTTGTTCAGGGTCACTTGGTGTTAGAAAACTCCATGTTGTCTAGTGAGAACTTCTTTTTCCAACAGTGTTCTCTACCTGGTACCCAACGGGAGGCAACTTAAAACAACTTTCATACACGTGTCCTGAGTAGCTCTCCATGTATCACACAGTGTAAGCTCTTAAGTTTAAAATGATCTGAGCTTCAGCTATGAGCTAAAGAGAACAAAGCAAAGGCCATCTGTCCTTCTCAACATCCTTAGTTTTTGTTGGCTATTACCCAAACTCTTATATGTAAAACAAGTTTTGCAGACTTCAAGATCATTCAATTAAGTGCAAATCCCCTCTCCTCTCATGCAGTGCTTATCTTAAGAGAAGGAGGGTGATAACAGCAGTATATTCTTCTTTTAGAGAATGATCTGCTGAATGCTGGGGAGGTAAGGGACAGGAAGGTGCCTGGGGTGCTGCCCATATTACTCAACCCTGGATAAATGTATATGTCAGGGGACTTTTAGAGGCTGCTACTCTGGAAATTGTCTTAGGTGAGAAATATGTTAAAAATGTACAACAGAGTTCAGGACTGAGTGAGTTTCTCTTATCTTTTCTTAGACAATAAGTAGCCTGCAGAACAAAGTAAATGCTGATATAGCAGCCAAGCAGGCTGCTGGGAAATATTTTAACCCTCGCCCTTCCACAAATGTCATATTTCATTGGATGAGAAACCCATATGCTTTATAATTACAATAATCCAATTTCTACTTATACTGTAGGAAATAAATCTCCCTGGCCCATTACATAGCTGCTCATCTGTCTTAATCTAGGGTCTTATTATTTTAGCCAGACTCTTGTCACATTGAAGAGACAGCTAGAGGCCACTTCCTCCCTTAGGTCTGCTTGCAGAAGGCATGAGAACACTGTGCAATCATGCTTGTAAAAGTAGTGTAGATTTCCAACTTGGTTTACCCTGTGCCTTAGTGCAATAAGTCCGAGAGATTCTTAATTATGCTGAGTCATTGGCTGTATTTCTCATTTTCACTTTTTAATGTGCCTTAACCAAAATGTCATGTTACCCAATATAACATGACTGTGCTCATTATCTTTTAGAAAAATCCACAGAAACATCTGTTGTGCCTGGCTAGAGGCAGCAGTGCATTGTTTTAGTGCATCCGGGTTCATGGAAAGATAAAGTGTGCACAACAAAAAACAAAAAATCCCAGTTGCAGGACTTTGTATTTGGCCTTGTTGAACTTCATGAGGTTCACACAGGCTGTATAAATTCACTGGAGAAAGCCTAAACCTAACGTTAACTTTTGTAGATACTCTGGTTTCATTTTGGCTATGAAGGTATTTAGCAATAGCATGAATTCTTCTTTGCTTTCTTTTGGAAATCCTGTTATATATGTTACAGAAGTGTGATATATTTTCTGTATAATATTACTAAAATATGTCTCTGGTGTTGTAAAGCATCTTTCTTCTGCACACCAAAAGATGTAGACAGAAATAGAGGTTTGTTTAAAACTTACTGCAAATAATTACTAAGTGACTTCGCTTCATTCATAAGAATATTCCTGTTACAGCAGTTTATTCCATCCTGTTATTTTGGCTACACTGCAATCCCATAAGGTTGTGCTAATAAATCAGCAGCCTACATATCTTCTCACTGCTCAGTTGTTTTTATGGGGGGGGGATACAAAGTACTTTGTGTTGCAATAGGAACTCTTTACGTAGGTATTTTACAAAGAAGGATATCATGGAATGCAGCAGTTCTCACCTCTTTGCCTGCATTCCTGTGGGATAGTATCTGGAGCAGGAGATCCCATCCCAAGCGCAGTACGGATCTCGAGCAAGGCAGCAGTCAGCACAGGCAGTACCGTACATGTCACACTGGTGGAACTTCACTTGTACTATGGCAGACTCAGATCCAACATAGAGCTGTTGCTGGAAAAAACACATCACATACAATTAAATTCCTAGAGTTTCTACTGAAACTTCTGTTACCAAAGGAGTTATTTAAGAAATGTTAGCTTTATTGTTGCTTGTCAGCTGTGCATCCAGCCTGTGCCCTGAGGGAGGCAGAGTTACTCTGTGGGAAAATATCTGATTACAGACTTAATTCTCCCGCATGAGGACAGAGGAACAGAAAGATGGTAAAATGAACAAGTTTATTTTGGCATTTCCTCACTTCTGAAGTTTCAGATTGTGAGATTGGTGTTTGAATAAGCAGGGGTTTCAGTTTATTTTTCTTTCTCAGTATAGTTTCCAATGCTTCCCTCTTCACACTTCTCTGTTACCTAAGCTATCTGCAGAAAACACCTGACATGAACAGCTTTAAAAAAAGAAGTTCAAATTTGCAAAACCTATAAGCAACCTCAATGTTAAAATGGGAATGATCAAGTAAGTTTAACTCCTGATGTAGCTACTTACAGTATGATCGCATATACATATGAGCAGTTGAGCTGTATGATTTGTATAAATCCTCAGTGCACAGCAGATAGACAGATGTTTGGGGGTTTTGTTGTTGTTTGTTTGTTTGCTTGCTTGTTTTTTCCTGGTGCTGTGCAGACTTCCTTACAAATTAACCAGTCATAATCTACTTATGTAGCTTGGGATTTCTTTACAGCATTAGTGCTAAGGCTGTTCGAATCTACTGAGTTCACATAAATGTCCTTTTCAAATAAAATGAAAGATGATCAATCTAATTCTTGAGATGCTGACATAGTAAATTCAGAAAAGCTTGAATTTACAGGGACTTGAGAAAAAAATCCTGTTGCTGGTGAATGTAAATAGTCTGAACACAGAAACATGCAGTGCACACTGCAATAGGAACTGCTTGTGCGCAGCTCACTTCCATGGTTTACCAGTCAGAGAAAAGATTCCTAATGAACACTTAAACTGTGCTTATCCTAATGGCTAAACTTGGTTCATAATTCCCACTCTTTGACCAAGATTTCAAAATCAGATATTTTAAAATAAAGCTGGAAAATACCGGCAGCTCATTTAGTCTGGTTTACCTATCACAAAACATGAAATTTAATCCACATAGTCCATTCTTGTTCCCTAATTGCACCTTCTATATCTGTTTAGGTCACAGAAATTTAACTTTCAGAAATGCCAGGGGAAGAGACTAGGAGAGGCTGGTAACAGCAATGCTTGAAGACTTTTTCAGCTGAGATAAACCAGATGATAGTAGCAGGAACTCAGTCTGCCAATTGGAATGAAAAAGAAACCTAGGATCCTTGTGTGAGGGGAATTCTTACTTGTCTGAAAAGGCTGCAGTGTGATTGTCCCAGAAGACATGAACAACACTTTCAATTAGACATACGAGATGGGATTTTCTCTTTCATCTTTTAACAGGGGTGAAGACTGCTCTAAGTCTTGGTCCATCAGAGGAGGGCAAGAAGCATCCTATATCTAGCTGACTGAACATCAAAGAAGAACATTCCTTCCCAGCCCCTGCAGATAACTAACTCAGCCCTGAAATATGATGTTTTATTGTACCACTGGCTTAGTGAAGACTGTTTAGTATTATAAGGATATTGTAACAAAGCTAGCAAGGAGCTCTACACAGGTTCTCTAAGTCCAAGTTCAAAAGAGACCAGCCAAAATGCTCAAGCTACGTAACTTTTTTCACATAAACTCAACTCGTACACTTCTGGTCATTACTTAGTGCCAACTCAGTAACACATATTCCATCCTAACACATATTCCAACATTTAATTGTCCTCAGTATCAGAAAACTATCCTATTTCAAGATTATCTACATACAACAAGCTGAACTTGATTATTTATTCTCATATTTCTTTGCAATCAGTGTTCAAAATTCTCTATACGCTTACACTAGGAAGACATTTTGTTTGGTAAAATTCTGTATTTGGCTGTTCTGTTCTCTCTAATCTTCTCTTTGCTATCTTGAAAATGTTAAGCTACTTTTACTTCTCACAACTAGCTTTTTTCTTCAACCACTGGATTGCTCTGGTGGCTTTTTTTTGCAGTTCTCCTCAGATTTTCCAGACTCTTTTTGAATTAGCAGAGGTAGCAGCCCTCTTGGGAGCTGGATGTAATGGAGAAAGACTACTTTCTTTTTTATACAGTATCACCTTTTTACTCTTCCAACACAACTCCTTTAGCATGACATTTCACTGAGAGCTATAGGTAATGCAAATATCTGAAATGACACTGAAGTCTTTCTCTAAATAATCACTCAGGTGAAGTGTTGGACAATCTAGTTTCCAAAACTGCTTTCACAGTCAATGGAAAAAAAAAAAAAAAGTAGATTGATCCAGAAAATAATTCAGAATACTCACACCTGAGATCCTCCTCTGAGCCACTATCAGAGGAGTTTGTCTCTCTGCATTACCTACAGAAAGAATGCAAGTTGACTAGACAACAAGACTAAAATGACATTTTGGGGCACACTCACACTTCCTATTAATGCAATTTTCATTCTTTGTTATTTGTGTTTCACTACGTTTATGTGCACCTATATTGTGCTGGATGTCTAAGATCTCTTAAGATATAACTATCCTGGGATTTTTATAATGTCTTCATCTGGAGATGATATGATGATATGGTACAGATGAGAATCCACATACAAGAGTAATAAAGTGGGTGTTTATATTAGCAGAAACTAGCAGAAAATCAAAAGGGAGTCAGATCCAAAAAGCCCTGCCTTTCATGAGCAACCGAGTACGTGGGAGAGCCAGCAAGGCTCTTTCTGCATTGGTATTCTTATAGGGTTGAAGTCTGTCTGCATTTATCAGCAAGGAACTTTCTATGAGTTGCCATATCCACCAAGCTAATCTCTACTGTGATTAATATGCCAGTAACTCCTGAAACAGGTTGGGTTTTATTTGCTTTGATAAGCATGGTTGTGTAAACTAAGGAGATTTAACATTAGAGTTGAAAAATATAAATTATTCATAAAAGAATAGAGCATATAACCATCACTGCATTACAAAAGGATTACATGTCTCAAGAGATCTCATAATAGGTGATGTACATCTGTCTATCTATACAGTTTAAGCTTACTTAGGTTTGAGTCACAATCTTCACATTTCAAACTTGTCAAATACTTACCCTTTTTGAAGAGATTTCCATAGAAATAATAGGAACTGGCACCTAGAAAATAGGAAATAATTCCTTGCTCAGAAAAAAAAGTATCTTTTTACAATGACAAGAAATTAGGTAAATTAGTGTCGATGTTTAATTATTATATTCAGCTTCGCTAAATACGTTGTTTCTCTTTAAGTTCTGATGCTACAGAAAGACAAAATTGTGACTGTATTGCTTTAAAAGAGTATTTAAAAACAACCAGCTGACACTTAATTCAGAATTATTGGAGCCACAGGAACACTGCAATTTCCCTGTCAAACATGGGATTAGCTCTTGCCACCACTGAATCTCTTTTGTCCTACTTGAAAGTGATAAGTGGAGTGTTCTTTATAACAAAACATTTACTGAAGATAAGATAAAAATAGCAGGAATTCCTTCTTTTAGTATTGTCCTTTCTGCCCTCTGCTCACATTTCCTGGAGCAAGACTGTATTCCCTAATAGGTAGTGAAAACCAGCCCCTAATAGCTGTTGAAAACCAGCTTTATCAAGAGGGGCAATTTCTGTGATTTCGCCCCAGGCAACAAGCTAATGGTTACTCTGCCTAAATGCAGGTGCCTGATTTGAATATCTAAGTTTGGATATTAGTCTCCTACTTTAGCTATGTGGCTAACACGGCAGGATGTGAATACTCTCTAAGAGGATTTCATTATATTAGCTTTGCCACATGCTAAATACTGAATTTTAGATATGGATTATTCTTAAACGGAGTGGAGTTTTGCCTCACTAGGACTCAGGTTTGCCCACTGTAAAGAGAGATTAACTGATTCACTCTTTCGGAGGATTAGGCTTTTTTTATCTGGATCTCACTTAAGCTTCCAAGATAGCAGTAGGCACATTTTTGTACATGTAGTACACATTTTGTACTTATTTAAATACTTGGATATGAGAGAAAACTGAATGAAATGCAACAAGTTTCTAATTGAAAGTTGCAATATATTTCAGTACTTGGGCTGTAACTCCACCTCAGAAAAACTTCAGATGGAAGCAAAGATTTCCTGTCATAAAATAACTAGATCATTAGAAATTTTCCTGCAAACCACTATCATATATTTCACTATCCCAAGATATTTTAGACATTTATTTAGACATTTCTGCAGAGCAGAAAATACAAGACTTGTATATATGATTCATACACAGCACAGTTCACCTTGAATACTTGCAGCTCTTCAAGAATCACTTCTTCCATTGATTCTGTCTCTTGATTATAAATTGTAATAACTTTCAGCACAATTCCATTATCTGAGAATGGATTAAAAAAAAAAAAAAAAGAAAAACAAAAGTAAAGGTTATAATTGGTTAAAACATTTGTGTAGTTTCAAGTACACTAAAAGACTTTTCCAAGTTGATAATGAATATAAATTTATAAATACACACAGTTAGTTACATCTTGCAGTTAGTGATAAAGATTCTTACTGTTAGAAAATAAACACATATGATAATATGTCCCTGGCAAATACAAGTCAACTGAGATATCCCTGAGCTATATGATTAATTCACTTGTATTTTTCAAACTATGGGTCATAACCTCTAGGTGAGCTGCAAAGAGGTGACCATATTTCAAGAAAATAAATCAGAGTGGGCAGGAGCTGAGACCGTCAAGGCGAGGGAGTGTAATGTATCTTTAATTATAGGATCTGAGTGTTTACACTAGTTAGGAAACTACTAACTATCCTTAATTACCGACAGCAGCTCCGTTCCTCCAGGCTAGAGTACAAAAACCTTCAGGGGTTCATTGTCCCCAGTTCTCACCCTCCTCTGGGGAAACTGAGCTGCTGTTGATCTGAAGGTGTTAATCAAAGGAAGATGAACCAAAAAAAAGGGCTGCACGTTCAGTTTAGATTTATCTGCCTTTCAGTCACTACAACTCTTGCAGGAAATTAAACACACAAATAGCATCTGGTCTTGCATCACTTCAGCTTTTTCTTGCCATTAATAAAATAGTCTTCCTTTCTTTAATCTGAAAATCTGTCATCAACAATGGCAAATATCACTTCCTTTCTTCTGTTACTTTCAGTCACCTTTGATTTACAGGGGACATATTAAGCAGACAAGCACTGGGAGAAATGTTCAGCAAAAGATCAAAGAGGCAAACATAAAGAGGAACCATTAAATGGTGGTCATATACCAGTTCTCAAATAGAATATATAATCAAAGGCATCCATTTTGTGATGGAACAGTAAAAATAAATTGCATTCTGAGATCTGATTTTCATAAGTCCCTCTTCGAATCCTGCTGACAGACATGTGAAAGCCCTGACATTCAGACTTCGCCTTTGATGCACTTCTCTAACCTACACTGCTACCTACCCTAAGGAAACTCCTGCTCAGTTGTAAGACCCTGTTTACTTATGTTACACAGCGGGTGTTGGACTTGGATAAAAAAAGATTAACCCTTTCTAGCACTATATTGCCAAGAGAAACAGTAAATTTTTTGATGAGAGTTTTGCCAGAGCAGAGATTGCAGGGTTTGTTTCAGAGTTTCTAAAGCCCAAAAATTCCTATGCTGGAATTTCCTGTCACCTGAGATCAGACATCTCAAGAAGACTAAGCAGCTGTTGGGTGCCACTCAGCACAGCTCTAACAGGCACACTTAAGTCCCTTTGGATTCTACTTTGCTGAATGGATGATTTATGTACAAGGGTACTCAATACAATATCTCTATCACAAATGCAAGTGGAAAATATAAAAAAATCTAGGCACCATTATAAAACCTGCTGTACAGAAATAAGTGGCACATGGTACAATGTTTTATGGACCACACAAAGTCCAGTACCAAAACCATACTGAGGCCATTTAAACCCTTAGAAAACAACGCTAGTATAAATAAGCCTTTGCTGTTCTCGACACTGAAATGTGCTTATCAGAGGAATTTCATTTGTAAAAAATAATTCACTGTAACTGCTTTCCTAGACAAAATGGTCAAAATGATTTGTGATACCACTCCTGTTGTTAAATTGTTAAAATGTGAATGAACAAATCCTTGGATTTTTTCCAGACAGATTAGATGTGACTAAAGTCTTGTTTAGTTCCAGGCTTTCCTCTTATTTTCTTAAGTTCTCTTAATTTTCAAATGCCATTAGAATATGTTTTTTTCTTCTAGTTGCTTAGAGTTAGTGTAGGTCTATAATGCTGTAATATGTTTTACCTTAATCATATTTTTTGGTATATAATTGCAAATTCTCTTTAATCAAGCTTTCTCTATCCTATGAAGATATATGTCTGTATCATATGAAAATGGCTCAAAAGAACAATAAAATTTGGCAGAAAACTTCTAACAGCATCTTTTTAAGAAACTTGGGTATTTCCTCCTTCCTTCCTTGCACTGTGTTGTAACCCAAATATGGAAGTTGGCAGTTTCTTTTTAACAGTATCAGCTAGACTCGTGGTCTCCAGAATTGAGGAAAATAAACTGTGGAATAAAGGCAGTTACTTGATCTGATATTTTTGAAAATCATCACTTTTGTTTCTCCCAGGTCTCAGCTCAGAACTATGCTCAGACATGTGATTGTGTTCTGAAGTTTTAAAAATAAGGCCAGTTGTTCAGGAGTTTAATTTGTTGTATTGATTTTTTAGTTTTAGACTACACAGAAATTAATATCATTCATCCTGAAGGCAACTCCCCCCCCCCATTAAATCATGTTACTTGCTTTCTTTAATTTACCTGTGCCAATGAACAAGACATCATATTGCCCATCTTCAGCTTCCACTCTGTCCACTGCTATTTGTTTAAGATTGTACTTTCCATCAGTTTTAACTAGTATTGGTCTCTTATGAACAGGCTTGATGGGCTGGTACATCAGTGGATGACTCCTGGCAAAATGGATAGCTTCATCAGGATAGTCTTTGGTGGTAGTATACAGACCACCATTCACCTTGCTGGCACACTGCAGAAACATAAAACATAGATTATCCTGAAGGTTTGCTAAATAAATTGTCAGAGATAGGTCTTATTTTCAGGGGTGATGACAAGTCTACAGAAAACCTGGCATTAAAATCAGGCACAGGAGGAACTGGGACAGTGAACTCTATGCTTTATGCATGTGTAGATTTTTAATTGGGAGAAGCCAAGAAAGAGAAAGTTGAAGTAAGCCTTGGCATTACAGTATTTAGAAAGAGGGAACTCCTTCCTCTCTGGCATACTAAGAGCAGAGTAAATAGTGACATTTTTAGATTTTGACAAAAAATAGTGCTTATGCCTTTCCAAAATTCATATTGAAGATGTAATCAAAATTGCCATTGGTAGTTAGGAGAAAGGTAGAGACACAACCATGTAAAGTCAGCAGAATACTAATGCTTGACATTAATCTCTACTCTTATTACTTTTGATTGCAAAATGTATTGCCATAAGAAATGAAGCACACTTAAAAATTATGCCAGCAGCAAGAGTAATCCTTGATCTCAGGTATTCTAACAGTGTTACATTTGATTCTAATTCCTAACTCATGAGGACAGTATTATGTATCACAGTTTAGCTTGAAATACCAATGTTTGCATTGATCAATCTACTGTTTTGCAAAACAAACAGACTTTATGTCAACGATTGATTAAAAGAGGCTTACTCCTTTGGTCAAATGTGCAATTAGGGATAATTTAATGCTTTAAATGGAGAAGTTAATTCTAGAATGCTTTGTGAAGGATATAGTGTTCCCTAACTGAATATAGATTCTACATTTCCAATTTGCTTCATGATGTCTAATTGAAACCATTTATGATCAAGTTGGAAGTATCTCAATAACCATTTATTTTCTCCAAATATTCATAAGACAGTGTGGTTTTAAGAAACATTTCAAGGAAAACCACAGTAGCAGCCTTTCCCTATTTAAATTGGATTTTTCAATCAATAAAATGAAATAAAATAGTCTTTATGTTTACGGGAAACAGTAATTTTAAACTTGCGGTCAACTGTAATTGACAATAACAAAGTCCTGTACTTGTCAAGTGGGGCAATGTTTGTTTCCACTTTTTGGGCTTAGCTACAGGAAAGTATTTGTTCAGTGTTGATTTTAAAGTAATTGTCTAATCAACCTAGTGATGGAATTTCACCAGCTGTTTGCAATAAGAAGACAGAGCTGGAGCATGAAGACAGGCGAAGCCTCTGCTTGCCATGCACTGCACAGCATATCAAGTGAATAGGCATTGCCAGGTTCCCTTTTCAAAGGTCTAGCTCTGGAGAGATTTAATAAAAATAATCCTTCACAGGCTTTTCATTTTTAACTAAATAAAATAGTCTAGAAAGGCAACAGTAGGTGCATCCGTCTCTGAAGACTATCAACACCATTTTTGAGGTCACTGATGTTATTCCCAGAAGCATCATAGTCTAAATGCACTAAAACAACCAGCAAAACAGGAGCAGAGATTATGGCAGAAGCAGTGCTTCAAGCAGACTTCAGAGAGCAGCGGTTTGCAGAGTATTTCAGAACCTTTGTGACTCTTAACAGCAGTTTTCTGTTTATTCAACTTTAAGCTCAGCTCTCATTCCTTGTAGACTCCATCTTTACCCATTCATTAGCTAAGATCAAAGAATGCTGACTCTCAGAGATGCCTAATAGTAGGTTATTTTTGGCCTTTTGTCACTGTCACTCCTGTAATGGAAAAGGTAGTGGGATTTTGTTTACCAATAAGCTGAACTTGTCTTTGGAGTATGAAACCTAACACTGTGGGCTACAGAACAAAACATACCAAAACATGCCTGTGCTCTGCAACATACAGAGACAAATATAATTAAATTGGTTAACACCCAGGAAAGACATGGTTCCTCAACTAGTTTGTTCATGACATTGTGAAAATTACTTGTGATCTTTTATATCTGTTTCGGCTCCTATGTCTTGCCTGTTGGGGAGACTAAAATCCAGTCTATCTAAAATATGGCCATTCAGAGCCAAGGGAGAGAAGCATTGGAAGTGAGTGGAACCTGGGTCAGCCTTTCTGTAAATCATTGTCAACTTTGCTGAAGCACTGGCTCAGTGTTCTCTACTTCTTGCCAAAAAAACACCATTTAATCTTCAATGCTGGGAGATATTAATGTAATGACTGTAGTTGTGAATACTGAATTCATGCCTGCGTTTAATGCTAGTCCAAATAACATATGTGAGGTATTCTAGTACCCAGAAAAAAATTAATACTGCTTAAAGAACTTGGACCATATAATATTTGTAAAATATACAGTCACTCTGCAATCCATGCATAGTTCTGCCTCATTATTTGGCATAACTGCAAAAACTGTCATTTTTCTAGACAAAATGTAAAATAGAAAACCAATAATTCCTTTGAATTCAAACATTTTGTTCAACATGTGATAATTTACTTATCTGATTTTCTACCCTGACTCAATACCAATGACTTTGATCTACATCAAACAAACAAAGAAAAACATTTGATATTGATGTCAGCACTGCTACAGTGGTAGCTAATTGGCTAAGATGGCCAAATCATATTCATAATGTTTAAATCACAAATAATCTCTTTTTTGGAGCATCCACATCTGCATTTTCACTTATTTCTCTAACCCCAGAGGAAAACATTAATCTAAAATGGGAGAGGACATGCATTCAAAGTCATACTACAGGGAGAAAGGCTGTACTGGCATGGACTAGATAAACTAATAGACCTTTTCACCTCTTATTCCTGTGATTCAGTGATAAATTAATTGCATGCAATGCCTGTTTCTGCAAATGACTGCTTTCAGTACAAAAGAGAATACTGATTCAGTTAGCAAAGGAAAAACAGCACTGAAAGTAATGCTCTGTTAATGCACCGTTGTTGAGCTCCAGAGAGCAAGCCGCTAGCCTGGTAAAGATAAGGAGAAGAAGTGTGAAAACTGGGAAGGTTTAGCCAAGCAGCTGTTAGAAATGTCTTTGCATCTCACAGAGTGAAAAATCTGCACTATGACATGATAAAGGGTAGACCTTCAGCAAGTGTAAACAAAAGCAACTTTGCAAGAGATAACAGTTGCCCTGGGTGGGTTAGCTGTATTCCCAAAACTTATGGGGTGAAGAAGAAATCCTGGATATGATGCTTCTCTGGGATAGACTGGCATTCCCTGCTGTGGGGTTTCTCAGATGCAAAAAATGTGTCAGCAGTCAAATTTAGAACAGTTATTTTAAGCTCAATAGAAAGTGAGGCTCCCTCCCAGGTAATGCACTTACTGCTTTCTGAATCCAGCATCTGACCTGTATTCTAAAGGTGCTTCTTTCTACCCTTAATGCCTGTGGTCCTAACTTTGAGACCTTTGGACCTAAACACAAGTTCCAGAAGGGTTTTGAAAGTCCTATATACTCAATTCCACAATTTTCCTTTGGGAAAGGTTTGCTTCTAGTACTTGATTAAACTTATTGCTGAGCCATTCCACACTTTCCCAGAAATGCTAGAGTATGTAAATATTCAAATAAATATATCCTGGACTGTGAAGTCAGGAAGATTTGTACATTAGCAGCAGTTTGCTTTTTCTTCCCGAATTCATTTGCATAGCAAAGCAATGGAAAATAGATTTTACTTACTGAACCAGGTCTAGGATAAGGTACTTTTCTTTCATATAGAGCCCAGTGGTATTCAGGTCCTTCTTTATGAGCATATGGTCCATTGAAAGCTGCTCGGACACTTGCCATGTGGTAAACACATATAGCGTATCCTCTAAATATATTGCTATGAAGTAAAATTCAGACATTATTAAAGCAATATGTCACATTCTGTATATATAATACTGGTATTATTGTTAATTAAAAATTAGTCCCATTTCAACAGTATTCGGGGAGAAAAATCCTACTTATTTTTCCTATATGCTTTTTGTATAAATGCTGTGTTCATTATTCTTTACAAAGTCTTTAATA